TGCTTGATGTCACTTGTATTTGGAAGATCACAGAAAACAGGAGAGATGGACCACAAGACTAGAGAAGGGCAAATATTACTAATTTCCCCCCACAGAAGGGAGAACAGTCTGCAAACAAAAGATCAATAAGCTTTACTTGGATTCCCATGAAAATTCTAGAATAGATAATTTAAAGAGATGTTTGGCAAGCATCTAGAAGAAGAAACTCTGATTATAAAGAACTGGTATGACTTCTTCAAGAACAGGTTGTGTCAGACTAACCTCATTTCATTTTTGGACAGGATTACTAAAGTAATAGAGGAAGGGAGAACTGCAGAAACCTAGAGTTTGACCAAACTTTTCATAAAGTATCTTAAACTCTTCTTGTGGAGAAGATGGAGCAATGTGGACTAGATGATCATCTAGTCAGATGGATTCAGCATGGGTTGTATGGCCATTCTCAAAGAGTAGTAGTTAATCTTAATGTTAATCTAGTTAATTTAATTTTAATGTGGCAGAACATCTCCAGTGGAGTAACCCAATATATAACCCAGTGCCTCTGTGTTAGAGGTAGATTTCACTGAAGACGTGGCATGTGTGCGTACACACCCACCCACACACACACACACACACACACACACACACACACACACGGATGGACTGTATTCAGGAAGACCTGAGTTTAAATATGGCCTCAAAAGTTATTGCTATATGACCCTGAGCTAGTCACTTAACCTGTTTGTCTCAGTTTCCTCAACTGTGAAATGGGCATACTAATAACACCTATTTCACAGCACTGTTGTGAAGCTGTGATAATAATATTCATAAAAACGACCTGCCACAGTGTCTGACATATAGTAGGTGCTATATAAATGTGTATTCCCTTCTCTCTCTCCTCCCCATTTAATATTTTTATCAGTGACTTGGTTAAAGTCACAGATGATGTACTTATCAAATTTGCAAATTACATCAAGCTGGGAGGGAGAGCTAAAACACTGAATGACAGATTAAGGATCTTGACAGGCAAGAACACTAGGCTGAACCTATTAAGATGAAATTCAATAGGGATAAATATAAATGTTGCACTTAACATACCAAAAGAAAACCAAACCCAGCCACACAAATATAAGATGTGGAGACATATGGAATTTTCATTGACTGCAAACTTAATCAGAATTAGTAATATGATAGGGCAGCCAATAAAAGCTAACGTGATCTTGGGTTGTATCATAAGGGATTCTAGGATTATGGAGTCCCAGGATACTTTGCCCTTGTCAGCCCTCAGTTTAGGAAGAACATTGATAAGCTGGAAAGTGTTAGGGGAGGGCACCCGGAATAGTGAAGGACATTGAATCTATAACATGAAGATTGGTTGAATGAACTGGGTATATTTATTCTGGAGAAAAAGACTCAGGGTGACATGATAGCTGTATTTGAAGGGTTGACATGTGGAGGAGGAATCAGAATTCTTTTGTCTCCAGACGGTAGAACCAGGAGTATTGATTGGGCAGAAATTTCCAAGAGGCCAGTTTAGGCTTGATGTTGGGGAAAACTTCCTAACAATCAGAGTGTCCCAAAGTGGAACAGGCAGCCTGGAGAGGGTGTGATTTCCCCCTCCTTGGTAATCTTTAAGCAGAGGGTGGATGACCACTTGTCAGGTGTATCATAGTGGAGATTCCTTTGATAAATGAGTTCAGCTAGCTGACTGCCGGAATCCCTTACGCCTCTCAAATCCTACTTGAGAATCAATCTCTATTTTGGATTCACTCTCCATCTTATGCTCTCTATAATCTATCGGTGCCTGTGATTGACATACCTGAAGAACTGGGAAGGCTTCTATAGGAAGGTTTTGGAAAATGGCTAAAGGTGAATGATTCCTTGAAGGAGTGCTTTATATTTTTATTTCCATTTCTACTACTTTCAGTAAGTTTTGAGGCCACAGTGTATTGAATATATCAGTCTTGTGAATGATAGTGGCCCTGGGTTGTGACCACAGAAGAGTCTAGGTGGAGGCAGGGGTTCTAGAGCAGTAGACTTTCAAGTTTTGCTATTTTGAATAACAAAATATTGTTGAGTAACGTGCCCAAGCTAAGCCTAGGCACTTTCTGGTAGTGGCCAGACAGAACACTGCTGCCTTTTGGGGGCTTGTCCCCACATGCCTCATTGAAGAATTGAGGTAGCTATTGGGCAGAGAGACACCTCCTGGTAGGGAATTAAGATGTTACAGTCACTTGATGGACTTGATGACTGACAATCATCCTCTGCCTTCCTTCAGGAAGGCAGCACACTGCCACCATTACTGCAGTGCCCCATGTGTCACATGAGAGTCAACAAGGTGTCCTATATGTAAATCTTGTTCCCAACTAATGTGCTAACTCTTAGAGAGCAAGGATTATTTCTTATGAGGTATACATACATACATACATACATATATATATGTATATGGGTTGTTTTTTTTTTTGGTGAGGTGTTATGTGTCTGATGCCAGATTTGAACTCAGGTCCTCCTGATTCCAGGGTCAGTGCTCTATCCACTGTGCCACCTAGCTGCCCCTAGGTATATAATTCTTATATGAGGCATATAACTATAAGATAATGAGACATTTTTAGACAAACCATAAGTTATATGTGCAAATAAATACTGCCCCTTTTAAAGTTGTCATCTTGGAAGACCACATTTATCGTAGCTGTTTAAAGCATTCCTAGAATTTCTCTCTCTGAGAATTGGTTTCCTGGTCATTAAAATGGACTAAATAATCTCTAATGTCCTTTTCAGATCCAGTGATTGCCTTCAGAACCTTCGATAATCTTGTGATCATCCTTAGTGGTGGCAGATATTTTCCCTTGAATTAAAAACAGTCAATTAAAGCCAAGAAAAGTGTGTGATCAAGCCATTAACTATGGTTTGCCTGGGATGGGGGTGAGAGTGGGAAATGTGTGTCATACAAATATGGAGTTGATTATTCATAGGGGCCATAAGTTGGCTCAGGTGATTACCAAAAAGCAAACAGCTTAGGACACAGGATGGCCTGAGTGGTGGCAGCATCACTGAATAGCTTCTCAACAGAACAGTTTTGAATGTAACAACACTCATTTAGATAGGCAAGCTCTAGGATATGAACTTAGAAAAAAGCTCGGGTTGTGTTTTGTGTCTTTACAGTGAGTGAGGCAATGGATGGTAGGAATAACAAGGGGCTGGAATGTCAGCAACTCTTTCTTCATTGATTGCCTGCTGGGTGTCTAGCCAAGCAATTACTCTTTTCTGCTGGATGTGAAGGTTAGATGCACCTATCTTCCAGATTTAGGGAGGGAAAATGGTGGTGATGGGAGGCAGTGTGGTGGGAGAGTAGGGCTGGAGGGACAGCAGAAATGACATTCTGATTGTAGTCTCATTCCACATCCCTAGTGATGTAACATTCCTGAAAGACCTTAGCAAACCTTCATTCATCTCTAGTACCATGGAACCTGTCTTCTTTGGGGAGGATGCCCACTATCCCCATTTGTTGGTTTTCCACCTTTCTCAGTCACTTTATGGGCAGTTAGGTGACCCACTGGATAGAGTGCTGGGCCAGGAGTCAGAAAGACTTATCTTTCTGAATTCAAACCTGTCCTTGGACACTTACTAGCTGTGTGACCCTGGGCAAGTCATTTAGCCCTGTTTGTCACCGTTTGCTTATCTGTAAAATGAGCTAGAGAAGAAAACAGCAAACCATTCCAGTATCTTTGCCAAGAAAACCCCCAATGGGGTCATGACGAATCGGACATGACTGAAAACAGCTGAACAACAACATCTTTGTGGATCTCTGTGTCCACCTGTAATCCAGTTTTTCTACCTATTTTATTTTCTTTTATCTTTGTGGGATTATCTCTCTGAATATTTCTGTTTTGCTTCTGCATGTCTCTGTACCAGCATCCTGTGTCCTAAGCTGTTTGTAAATCATCCAGCCCTTTGGAATAGGCTACAATGTGGGATCAAGCAGAACAAGTCTAATATCCCTCATCCAAGTAACAGCTTGAAGACAGTTATCATGCCACCTTTCCCCATGACTTCTCTCTAGGTTAAATCTACCTAGTTTCTTCAACCAATCCTCATATATCATGAATTTGAGGTCTTTCACTTTCCTTGTTACTGGGTATTTTCCAGCTTACCAACATCTCCCAAGCTGCCTCAGGCTCAACAGTATTCACTGTTCAAAGCTGGAAGGATGTGTTGAGATCTTTAAGTCCAACTTTATCATATAAGAAATGGGGAAACTGAGTCCCACAGAGAAGGGATATAAAAGTCTTCCACCACTATATTTATAGCTCAAAGGTAGCTAGAGATTATTGGAACCAAGCTGCTCATTTGACAGACGAGGAAGATAAAGTGGTTTGCCCAGAATCATGTAACAAGTCAGTGGCACAGTGGATCACAGGATTTGGAGCTTGAAGATCAACATATCCATTTTCCTCATTTTTGTAGATAAGTAAACTGAGGCTTTGAGACAGTAATTACTCAAGGTCAGGAAATAATTGAGTATTGTGGCTGCTACTCAAATATAGGCCCTCTGACTCCAAATCCAGGGCTCAGTATTACCTCTTCAGAAGGGAGAGAGGGAATGAATACTTATGGACAGGATCTTGGAATGTAAGAATCTTAGGACCTCAGTTCCTCATCTCCAAAATAAGGAGGGGGCATAATGGTCTAGATTATATCTAAAGTCCCTTTTGAGATTTAATTTCTACAATCATTTTATAGTTTCTGAGGGAGAGAATGTAGAGTCTGAGGAATAGAGTCCTTAGGACTGAGCCTTGGAGAACATCTGTAATTACAGGTCAGTGAGAAGCAGTAGGGTATAGTGAAAAAAGCATTGGACTTAAATATCAAGATTAGACTTGGCTCTGAATCCTGCTTCTGATACTTACTTTGACTGTGACCTTGAGTAAGCTAATCTCCCTTGGCCTGTTTCTTCATCTTCACGTACCTCACAATGTTGGTAGGAGGAGCAAATAAAACAATGCATGTAAAGCACTTTGCAGACCTTAAAGCATTACATAAATATCAATTATTATCAGGAGAGGAGGCAGAAAAAGAACAATAAAAGAAGTAGAATAGGGGGAAGAAAACACGGGAGCCAGAAATTGAGGTACAGAAGAGCGTGGTACAGTGGAAAGAGCACTGAATCTGGAGAGGACCTAAGTTCAACTATCACTTCAGACTTACTAGCTGTTACCTTGGCCCAATCAATTAGCCTCCCTGGGACGGATTACTCATAAAATGATGGAACTCAGGGATTGTCTCTGAGGTCCTTTCCAGCATTAGTTATGATCTTATGATCAGTGGCATTGGGGAGTGGACAAAAGATGGAAGAGAAGTCCTTTGGATATTATTAGGTACCCTAAATGTAGCTATGTCCAAAAAGTAACTAAAGGGGTGAAAAGATTGAACAGTGAAGATGATCCCTTCCATCTCTGAATAGTGTGATCCTATGGAACCAGTTGTCTGACTCCCTGAGGAATGCAGGGACAAGGGAGTGGGGAAGGATCCAGAGCTGGTGTGTCAGTCAGCCTGGGCCTTTCATAGAAACTGGCTGCAGGGGTCCCTGAGACAAGTTTCAATGGTAGGGAAAACCAGGAGATGTTATGGCACATCAGGGCCCCCAGAAAGATTGGAAAAGACAACCTAGGGATATCAGGTTGAGGTGTCTGAGTACTGGGACTTTACCCCTTCCCCTCAAAGACTCTGTGAGGAAGAAGCTAAGTCTTTTATTTTCCCTGGGAAGGCCCATTATTATTGCTTTAGGATTACTGCCGGGGGTAGAGAGTGGGCTTTCCTCTGCTGCTACCCCAGCAGCACTTTCCTTTTCTGAAAACCCATCACTCAGGGGCCATTCTGTGAGGATCCCACTCCTCAGCCTGGGAATTAAAGGATGCCATGTTTATCCATGCCAAAGGATGTCAGCTTCCACCCTTGTGTCCCACATAACATCACCGTCCACTTCCCTGCCAGCTGCTGAACATGGCATCCTATTCAAATCCACCCGTAAAGTCTGTGGGGGCCTGACTACCGCCCCCGCGCCGCCCCCCCCCCCGGCGACCAAGGTCTTAGTTATGCGCTGCATAACTTCACACCTGAGTAAAGGGAGCCCTTGGCGTCCCTAACATAGTGGACGCTCAGTGGGGTGTTGGGGTTTTCTCGGTGCCCTCTGACGACATCCTGTGAACATCTCTAATGACGTTCCAAAGTGATGTCACCACTCGATTCCAGCGTGGGCTCTCTGGACAAATCAAGTGACTGTCAGCGCTCGCTTCGACCAACGCATCAAGGATTCAAGTCCACTCCTCCGCCCCAGTCTCCCCTGGAATCGGTTCTTGTTTATGCTGCCTTTTGCCCCACTGGTTAGTTCTTCCGGTCTCGGAAAACGTCACGCAGTCTTTTCATTACCTGACAGATGGATTCTCTCGAGACCTCCGCGCATTGGGGGGGTGGGAGGGCAGGAGAACAAAGGAGGCAAAGTGCGGGGCGGAAAAGAGAGACAGCCCCCCAGTTCCAGCTCATGCCCGGGGGAAGCTATACGCCGGGAAGAGACAGCCAAGGACTGGGCAGGAGGGTAGGGAGTTGGAGAACTACTTTCCTTCCCCAGCCATGCTGCGGCAGGATATGGCTTATAAGATCATGCGTGTAGCCGGGACTCCTTGGTGGGCGGGATCATCGGGGGCCTCCCGCCGGAGCCTGGGAAGCGTTAGTTCGCGTTAGGGCCGCTTGGCTTCTGGGAGAGCCGGAGGAGGCTGGTTGTGCTGCTGCTGCTGCTGGCGCTGCTGCGGCAGCGGGGTGGGGAAGAGCGCGGTGCTGGCTGTGAAGGGGGCGGCGCCTGCGCCTGGCGTGAGGGACACTACTTTTTGGAGTGGGGTTTGTTTCCCAGGAGACCGTTGATCTCCAGCACCTTCTGGGGCGTCAGCTGGCTCAGCACCTGGGAAGGAAGGAAGGGAAGGCGCCGGGAGTCAGGCCCGGGAGATTCGGGAGGACAGAGTGGGGCTCGGCCCCGAGGGAGGAGCTGAGACCTGGGAGCGCGCGACGCTGTCACCCCGCCCCTTTCACCTGCAGCGCTCCCAGGTTTTCCATCAGCTGTTCCGTGTTGGACACCTCTAGCAGGACGGAGCTGACAGCCTCGCTGCGGAGACACCAGGCTGGGATAGAAAGAAGAGGGGCAGGGGGAAGACAGCCTAAGAGAGGGCCTAGAGCCCCCCTCAATGGAGCCTTCTCTTGGGCACGTGAACTTTTTCTGATATACTTAAGTTATCATAGGCAGTTCTCTAAGATTAAATTTCAGATCACTAACAAGTGTGTATAGGTTAGAAGACGGGGTTTGTTAGCTGCAGATCCCCCACACCAGAAATCACAAGTTTGGTTCCCCCTCTCCCCCAAACTACATAAACTAACACAGTTGAGAAGTCTGGTGTAGCTAATAGAATGCTAGCTAGCCTTATAGTTAGAAAGACGGGTTAAAATTCTGCTTCTCAGCGTCTTATGCAACTCACTACAATTAAAACTTTACAGACCAGGTGCCCATCTGCATAGGTGGAGAGAGTTTCCACACCAGAAGTTCCCTAAAAGAATGAAATCCAGCTTGACCAAAATGGAAAGTAGATGGAGTATTTCTTGTAAGGACCAAATGACATCACTTAAATAAAGCTATTTTAAAATCTTAAAGTGCTATTTAAATTTAGCCATTATAATTACATATATTTCTATGTTTCCTTTTTTTATCCCATCCCAAACTAAATAAAATCCTGTGATAAATTATGATAAACTCTTTGAAGGCAGGGAGGATATGGGGTTTTTGTTGTTTTTTTTTTCCTCTCCCCTGTCAGCTCTGATTTTGAGAATTGAATGAGGAAAATATCTAACATAGGCAAGTCTATTTTAGGGTAAGGATTAAGGGTTTGTAGGAGGAGAGCCTCCTCACCAATAGAAAGCTGAGCCACTGTGCAACCTAGTTGGTGAGCAATGGGGAGCAGGTCCATGACCTTGGCCTGTTGCTTCTTGCCGTCTTCACTCTGTACCTTGTCCTTGAGCCACTGGTAGCCCTGGAAGAGAAAGGGAGGTGGGGAGTGGGGTGGGGTGAGAATAACTAACAGACTCCTCCATCTTTTTCCTTCCCAAATAGCTCAGAACAGCTGAATATCCCCAGTCCTTGCTCTCTTCAGGTGCCCAGGGATCTAAGTCCTAACACTCGTTTACCTTGATGGTCCCCCTGTAAGTTTCTGGGATTCTTCCTTCGTGCTGGGTAGTAATGACGCCACAGGCCAAAGGGGACCAGGTCACTGAACCAACACCTGTGAGCAGGAGGAGAGAAGACTATGGGAAAGAGGAATAAGGAGAGGATAAGGGCCAATTTTAATGGTGAGCAGAAGGAAGGAATCTAGAGAACAGTATATAAAGAAAGAGATGGCATATGTGAGGAAGAAGGGCTGAGGAGGCTGAGGCTAGAGATGTCAGGCAGGGTAGGGAGAGTAGTCTCTAACCTATCTTGTGGTAGAGCTCAGGCAGCTGTGTCTCCACCTTATCCCTCTGAAACAGGTGGTACTCGGCTTGTTCACATGCGGGGGGAATCAGGTTGAATTGTCGGGCCACTGAGTAGGCCTCCTGGATTAGGTGTTTGGAGGAAGTAAGCATCGGAATACCCCACCCAGTTACCTTTCAGCTCTTCACCGCTCCCCCTCCAACCCAATTACTTGGTAAGCATGTATTCTGAGGATTAGAGGTTATAGTGTTGTTAAGGAAATGTATAGTGTATAGTATTTGTACATATTTAAGGAAATGTATAGTATAGTATCACATACCATGATTTCTGCAGCTCCCCATCGGGATGTCCCCCAGTACAGTGCTAGTCCCTGGTTAATTACAAAGGTCATGGCCCGGACAATCTCTGGGTGTGTAAGGGTGATGAAATCCTGACAGTTAGACCCCTGGGATTCAGGCATCCAGTCTCCCAGATGGATGAACCCTCTTCCCTATAGCCATATCCCTCCAAGAATCCAAATACCTCTATGTGAGATTGAAGGGTTAATGCTTGAGTTCTGCCCAGTCCCCTCCCCCCCCCCAATCCGCTTCCCCTACCCTCTTCTGGAATCCCTGATGGGGGAGGTGGGAAACCTGGGAGCACTCTGAGGTCCTTGGGGTTGGAAAACCTTGGGGTCAGTGTTGGGGAGGTGATCCCCAGATTTATGGGCATCTCTACGTTTGGGCATTCTTAGGGTTATTTTCACCCTCCATGGGACTGTTGGGGTCCGAGCGATTGGCGAAGACTATGTCTACATATCCCAGTTGAAGCCGTTCCAAGGAGCCCCACAAGCCTGGGGGAGGGGGAAGAGAAGATAAAGTGACCTCAGTCTCCTCAGATATGGCCCCCTAAGTTCTAGGTCCCTGATTTTCTGCCTCTTGAAGTTCAACTGTTCGGATCTCATCCTCTCTAATATGACATCCCCTTCCCCCTCCCCCCAGCCCTATAATCCCTGGACCCTGAATCCTCCAACTCCTCTGGTTTGCTTTCCTGTATTCTTGGTTCCCTCCCCAGCCCCCCCCACAACATCCTTTGATTTTCCCCCCACTCCCCATTCCTAGTGCCTCACCCTCAATGATGTGTTTTCGGCTCAAGCCTCTTTCAGTCTCTGCCCTGTGGGAAAAGTTGAGTTTACACTGGATGATGCTGCAGATAGATGGTAATAATTATAACCCAATGGATCCCCACATCTCTTGAGTAAGGCTCAACTGGAATGATAGGTATGAGGATCTTCCCTTGGAAAGGACTTCAGAGTCCAAGAATCCTTTTTACAATGTTTAATCAATCAACAAACATTTATTAAGCACCTACTATGTGCCAAGCACTGTGCTAGGTGCTAGGGGTGTGGAGACAAAAATCAAACAGTCCATTGCCTTCAGTAGATTATCTCTCAAATGCCTTTGCTTGAAAATCTCAAGTGAGGGAAAACCCACTATCTCCTGAGGCAGTTCGCTTCATTTTGGAACAGTTCTCATTATTAGGAAGGTATTCCTGACATTGAGCTTAAATCTGCCTCTCTGCAACTTTTACCCATTGCTCCTTTCCCCCTCACTAAGGATAAACAGAACAAGTTTTCTACATAACAGCCTTTCAAATATTTGGACAGCTATCATGCACCCACTCCAAATGGTCATCCCTAGTGGAGGCTATGGGGAAAGGAGATACTCACTGTCCTCCCCAAAAGATTTTGGTAGTGATGATATAGCTGGATCTCCTAAAAAAAAAAAAGAGAGAAGTGGGAGTGGGGTCAGCAGGAACAAGGTCATTGTGGACTCCCCTCCCCACCCAAACATCCCCTCCCTTGTACCCCAACAGCCTCACCTCCAACCCTTGCTCTTAAGGATATTGCCCAGTGTTCGTTCTGCCCTAGAAAAGGGGAAATAATAAGGGAGCAGGGGGCTCTTCCCTCTAGTGATAGCCCCCCACAACTTATTTCTAGTTTCTGTTCCAGCAGAGTATGAATAGCATCCATCAGTCCCTAGGCCCTATATTACATTGAAAAGAACAGAGAAGTTGTAGCTCTGTAGTCTGGTAGAAACAGAAATACAGCTTTTTTTTTTTTCATTTGTCCTAACCCATTCTTCAAATTCCACAATTCCACATCCTTGGCAGTTTTGTTTGACCATCTCAGTTTGAAATGCTTTTGAACTTAATAACGATATACAACTTACATTTATGTGGCACTTAAAGGTGTACAAGTGCTTCACCCCCCCACCCCACCCCCCCTCCGCAACAGCCTTACAAGATAGGTAGTGCAAGTATTATCCCTATTTTTTGAATGAGGAAACAGATTTGGTGGTTAAATGCTTTGACTAGGGTCACACAGCTAAGCAAGTGTCTGGAACCGAGGTCCTCTCACAGACCAGGTTTCTATTTACTATGCCACACATAAATTATTGCCTTGTACCTTTCCTTCTGTTGCTGGTGTTAAAAGTTTATAAATCTTGTTTGTTAACTACATTTTCTGTCTTGTCTCTCCGATAGGATTGTAAACTTCTTGAGGGCAGGGATGTATTTCTTTGTAGTCCCCATGATGCCTCCTTGTTGCCCTCTCACAGAGTTGGTGCTCGATAAATATGTATTGTTTTTATTTTATTTCACCTACATATCCTGTTCATTCTACTGTTGGGGTTTCAACATCCATGTTTCTCTAAGTCCCTTCAAAGACCCAACATGATGGGAAAGGCAAATGTTCACTGAAGCCAGGGACTATCTGAAGCAAAGATGAGAGACCCTCTTTTCCTCTCCACTCCCAACCTTTTCCCCACTAATTGAACTCATACCCTTCCCCTTTTCCCTGGTTCATACTTTCCTGCTGCATACACTTCAGCTGTGTCAAACAGATTTACTCCATGCTCATATGCCACAGTCATCAGATTCTCTGCGGTCTAGGGATAAGTATGTTGGGGTAGATAGAATTAAGACTACCTTTCCAATGGTTTTCTTTACCACCCTCAGCCCTCCAAATCCCAAGAGACTTGTAAGTGTTGTGAGTCTTCAAACATAATACTACCATCCCATTCCTGCCCCCTGTATCTTTTCCACCTTCCCCTTTTCCTAACTTCAGTTTCATTAATCCCCACCCTTGTTTCCCATGCTCTATTTCCCATATCCATTATACTCCCTTCTCTAGCCCACCCTTCCACAATCCCCCTATTGCCCCATCTCTCTATTTCCTCCACCCTTATCCCTCTATTCTCTACATCCCTCCCATTATTCCCATCTGTCTTTTGGGATCAGAGACATTTATACCTCATCTGTGATCTGAGACCCAAATGTGACCCAGGTACCTGCAGAAAGAAGATCCAGGGACATGGGGGCTATGAGAGACAAGTCTCTGAAAACCTTGACCCTTAACAGCCTCCTCATCTTTTCATTTCCCATTAGACTCACCAAGGCCAAGACAGGATACTCGAAGACCAGACTTGCCCAAATTCCTGTGGGATAAAGAAAATTCAGTAGAAGGATCTTCACCTTCAGTTCCCCTTGGAGATGTAAATAAAGAGAAGTTCTCTAGTTCTTTCCCTCCTTGAATGTGTTCTTACCCTCCCCCCATACAAAACCCCAGGCAAACTCATCCGTGAGGGCAGCACAGTGCTATCAGTGTAGGCTATAGACACTCAAATATTTGTTGAATGAATTAATTAACTTTCCTTTGGGGCCTGCTGCGCAATTTCTATTTTCCCTACTGTCATTAAAATCTGCTGCCTGATTTCTCTTGACTTGTGTCTCTTCTCACAGTCATAATCCATGGATTTCCCTATATAGGACATGGTTAGGTTGTCACAGTTTCTTGGGTTTGGGAAGGATAAAAGGATAGTTAATTTGGAAGGTAAAGGGGTAAGAAGATGGCCCCGTGGGAAGTGAGTTATCTCCAGAAGATTAAATAGCAAATTGGGATTTTGGTTGGTGGAAAATAAAGAAGGGACCACTGAGATCTTTCCCATCCCTATCAACCCCCAAAGCTTGTGAAAATAGGGGGATGTAAACTTGATGAATGATTAATTCCCTTCAGTCCTTTGGCAGATGGTTGTCTATCATAAGGAATCTTTATTAAATCATCTAGACTGGTACTACAAAGGGAACAGGGAACAAGGAAGCCCAGCCCCTCTCCTCATGGTTCTCCACCCCCCATTCCTATTGGCTAGTGAAACTCCTTCCCAGAGTCATCTGCACCCTCTCCCCCCTACCCCAAAAGTTTCGGAATGATTTAGTTCTCAGAATGAGAAAGGATGGGAGTGGGGGACAGGATGGGGTGAGATATATGGTTTCTTAGGTGACAAAACCCTTTCAGATGAATAGCCTCACCACCCCACGGCAGGACAGGGTAGAATGCCTTTTGCAATATCAGAACACGGCTGTTTACCAAAAAAATCCCATCAATTTCTTCTGCAGTGGAGGGGGGAGGGGAAGGGGAAGAGCTCCATGCTATGGGGTGGGGTTATGGGCTCCTTACTGTACCTCACGTATAATATCAATCCCTCCCTACTACTCCTTCCAAATCCCCCTTTGCTCTCCCCACAGTTCTGCAAATCCCCTTGGGACCCAAAGTTTTTTTCCCTTGGCTAGGATCATTTCATCTATCTGAAAAAAGTAGAGGACCCTGAAGTTGGGGTCAGGAGAGTGGGAACTGATGGTGAAAGTAGGTCAAATCCATTATTGCTTTAATGACAACCAGGAGCTTAGTGAGCCCCACTGCCAATTCTAGAGATATAGTGGCTGGAAAGCAACGGGGTAGGGGAGATAGGGAACAGACCCAGAAGACACTCCCTAAGTAGCATGAGGGGACTTTAAACACCCCCTGAGCCCAATCTCAGAATACTTTTTTTTTTTGCACTCCTGCCTTAGGGATGGGAGGGAAGCTACAAGACAGAACACAGCGAACCCTAACAACTTACTCTGATTCTCAAAAAAGAGTCAGGAGGTGGAGATGGAGAGCAAGACAGCCAAGGAGAGAGAATGTGAAAGAGATGGAGACAGATATAAGTAAGGAATTGGGATGTTGCTGGTGAAATTTGAGGAGTCTAGAAAAATGAATGTAGGACACTTGGGAGGCATGAGGAGGGGTCGCCGAAGCGGGGGAAGGGTAGGGACACGGCTAAAGAGAGGCTATTCTGGCCCCCTCCTCCGGTACCTGTACTTCATGCTGGTGCCGCGGCCGGTGCTCTCTCGTAGGGGCCCAGAGAGGGTCACAGCTGCAGGACCCAGGGGTCGTGCAACTGGCACAGCCCGGGCCTTGGGGCCAGGTCCCCCTCCCCCAGAAGGATTCCCGTGACTGCTGGTCACTCCACTGCCATTCCCGCCCCCAGGGACAGGTCGGGGTCCACACAGACGGTCCTCACTGCTCCTGCTGCGGAGGTTTTGCTCAGTGCAAGCGATGGACACCTGCATCCCGGCTCAGGAGGGAAGGAAAACGGGATCCTTGAGGAATCGGGGTGATTCCGAGAAGGTAGGAAGGAAGGACTAGGGACGAGGTAGGAGAAAGAGGAGGTGGAGGTATGACAGGACGTGGCTGAGGGTTAGGGCAAGTCGGGGTAGGGGCAAACCAAAGGAGGCGAAGGTCCTCTAGATTCAGTGTTCTGCGAAGACTGGGGGACGAGGTGAGGCCAGGCGGACCGGAGACGGAGTGGTGGCTGGAGCAGACCCGGGGAGGGGAACATGGAGGGCAGAGTGAGAACAGGAGTGGCCCAGGAGTTAGGCTGGTGGAAGCGGGTTCCGGGGATGGGGAGACAAGTGAGGATGCGCTAGAAGTGGGGAGAATTCTTTTGGGGAGCCAGACAACTGGCACAGGGGCTAAAGGAGGGGTCAGGGATTGGGGTTCCAAGTCTCCAAGGAGGTCCTCGGAGGACAAGGAACCCTAGGGAGGGAGGAGGGGAAGGAGGGCAGAGGTGTAGCCGCAGCAGCCCAAACCGCAACCCGAGGGGGTTCTGCTTCCAGCCTGCAGCTGCTCTTAGGTCATCTGCATATCCCCCACCCCTCATCTGCATAGCTTTATCTCCACCTCTCCAGTCTGAACACAAGCTCCACCTCCCCAGTCTGCACAAGCTCCACCTTCCCAGGCTGCAGACAGGGGGTAGTAGAAGCTTTATCTGCGTGACCCGGCTCCCTCAATGGAGAGGGAATAAGGAGGCACCGTCCTTCTCTCTCACCAGCCACCCACTCAAGACCCGTGTTTGGTACTGGCTCCAGGACTTCCACCTCTCCCTTCTGGCTTCCCAAAACACCCTCCCTTTAGCAAAGACGCTCCCAGGGACATCAGACAGGTGAAAGCTTTATTGTCCATTCTCAATACAGCAGCAAGGGGACTGGCGGGAGGTGGGCATTGACTAGGTGGGATCAGAGCATCAGAAGCAAAGGACAACTGGAGCTGGAAGAGTCTGGAGGGGAATTCAGTCCTGGGTTTCATCAAGTAGACACTCTGGAACAGCGCTGGGGCGGACTGGAAGGCTCTTCGGGTGACCAAAGCAAAAAGGGAGATGTAGAATGAATACAGATGTAGTTCTGGAAGAATGCTGTTCTCAGCCAGCCCGGGCAGAGAAGAAGGGCAGCGATCGAACGTAGGCATCAAGCCGACTGCGAAAAAGTTCACTTTGTACGGTTTGACCCAGTGGGCACAGTGGATTCTTCACCACCAACTCCACATACAGCTATGGAAGAAGAGAGGAGGGGATGGAGAGACAAGTCAGGGGGGACAGGGAGGGAAGGAAAAGGCTAAGGTTCTTTTTCTCCCTTAAATCCCCATTCTTTCTAGATGCTCTTTTTCTCTTCTCCCTCTCAACCTTCACCTCTCCCTAAATCGTGGAGATATGAAGTGAAATATCACTCTCCATGATACTAGCTAGCATTTATAAAGAACTTTAAGTTTGCAAAGCACTTTACAAATATTATCTCATTTGATCCCATAACATCCCTGGGAATGTAGGTACTATTATTATCCTCATTTTATAGATGAGGAAACTGAGGCTTTACATGACTTGCCCAGGGTCAGAGATAGTAAATGTTTGAGGGAGGATTTGAATTCAGTTTCAAATACAATAAAGTTAGAGACCCTGAGAACTTGGAGAAAGTATGTGTGCTGGAGGCACACAATGGACTCTGAGGGACTGTGGGGAGACTTGGTGAACCACTGACTCCAATACAGATATTATCATTAGTACTATATGAATGAAGTTATTTCATTACTTTGAAGACATCCTCTACTTCTCACTATCTCAAGTCCTCACATCCAATTAGTTGACATCTTACCCATTCCAACTTCCATAATATCTCTTCAATGCATTCTTTTCTCTCCACTAACATAGCTGTAGTCCAGGCCCTCCTCACCTCTCAAGTCCTGACTATTTTGTTAGGCTCTTAATTGGCCTCCTTATCTCCTATCAGAGCAGCTGGGTGTCCCAGTAGATACACTGCCAGGCCTGTAGTCAGGGAGACCTGAGTTCAGATCCAGCCTCAACTGAACAACAATCTTGTATTTCTCTCCCCTCCAATCTATCCTCCACACAGGTCTGACCAAACTCTGCAATTCACATTCTGGTTTTGATCTATCTTTCCAGATTGATTCTACATGACTTCCCTTCATGAACTCTGCGGTCTGGCCACTCTAGGCTGTTTCTCATGACATTGCATCTCTCATCTCCCTTTGCACAGGCTGTCCCCCAAGCATGGTATACACTGCCTCATCACCTCTGCTCAAAGGAATTTCTCCTACATCAGATCCTAATCCCCCCACCCTACCCCAGATGCTAGGACTCCTTCACTGAAATTACCTTGCATTTACTTTGCAAATATTCTGTATCTACTTACACATGTATGAACGTATGGTGTCCTTAAGGGCAGACTATATCTTTTTAATATCTTAATTCCCAGCACCTTGCACAGTGCTTGGTACATGTCATTGTTCAGTCGTGTCCAACTCTTCATGACCCCATTTGGGGTTTTCTTGGCAAAGATACTGAATTGGTTTGCCATTTTCTTCTCCAGCTCATTTTACAGAGAGAAACCTGAGGCAAAAAGGGTTAAGTGACCTGCCCAGGGTCACCTAGCTAGTAAGTATCTAAGGCCAGATTTGAACTCAGGAAGATGAGTCTTCTTGACTCTAGGCCCCTGACTCTATCCACTTAGCTGCCCCTTGGCACATAGCAGGCACCTAATAAGTATTTGTTGACTGAAGGTAAATAGACTATCTCAGGAATTGATGTTAGGGGTCAAGTACTAGCTCATATCATTGAGATCTGCATGCAACATCATAGGGTTTTGCATACAGGCTGCAATACTTCAAACGACGATCTATATGCAAAAAATGGCATAAGAGATGTTATAAAACAATGTATTCTCCTAACCCCATTATCTGTCCTCACTGCAACCTCCCAACTCTTTTGGGCATGGTGGGTTTCAGATGTCTATGGGAATAAAGAATGACATCTGGGTTGCAAGGTTCCAGGTGACTGTAAGAATGGCAATTTTCTCAACAGAAATATGGAAGTTAGGAGGAGGTTTAGGGGGAAAGATAATGAGTTGTTTTATTCATATTGAGTTTAAATGCTTATGGAATATCCAGGTGTAAGTGTCCAGTAGGCAACTGGTAACGTGAGCCTGGAACTCAGAGAGGGATGAAAGCTGAATATATAGATTTTTGGAGTAAAGAGATGATAGTTGATAGGGAGCTGACATGACCAACAAAAGTGTATTGAAGAGAGAGCTCAAGTCAGAGCACTGGAGCATACTCACGCATAAGAAGCAGGATATGGATGATAACTCTGCAGAGGAAACCAAGAAACATTGGTCCAACAGGCAGGAAAGGAACCACAATAGGACAGTGTCATGAATATTAGGGGGGAAAAGTATCCAGAATGAATGGGTCATTAGCAGAATCAAATACTGCAGAGATCAAGACAAATGAGGACTGAAAAAAAAAGCCAAAGGATTTAGCAATAAAGAAGTCTGGAATACAACTGCTTGCTGGGCATCTTTAGCTAGATGTCATACAGGCATTTCAAATTCAAAAACAGAATTCATTATCTTTCCATCTAAATGCACCCCTCCTCTTCACATCCCAGTTTCTGTGGAAGGTATCACCACTGTTCCAACCACCCAGGTTTACCACCCAACAGTCACCTTCAATTCTTCAGTCTCATTTACCCCATCTATATCCAATTAGTTGCCAAGCCTTGCTATTCCCTCCTCGACATCTTCTAATTTCTAATTCATTCTCTACACAGCTGCCAAAATGATATTCCTAAAGTCTGATCATATCAGACATCCTCTGCTCCAGAAATCGGAACGGCTCCACACTGCCTTAAAGCTAAATACAGACTCCTCTGTTTAGCCCTTTACAATCTGACTCCAGCCTCTCTTTCCTGGCTGATTACATACATATTAGTCTCACTCACATACTCTGTGTTCTGGTCAAACACCTGCTTGCTACTCCCTGTATACAATATTCTATCCTTTGCCTCCATGCCTTTGGACAGGCTGTTCCCCTGTTCCTGGAGTGCCTTTCCTCATCCCCACATCTTGGAACTCCCATTCCTGCCCCTACCACTCACTGTATATTTACTTTGTAAAAGTAAATATGTTCCTTATATCCTTATCTGTGAATGGGTTATATCCACCTAGTATAATGTAAAAGTGCAGAGACTCTCACTATTACATTTATATACCCAACACATAAGGCAGTGTCTGGCCCTTAATGAATACTTGTTGATTGATGGATTGGAATGGGACATGGACTGGTCATGTAGGGATAGGAATAATATATGGACAGCACAAAGGCTATCGGGTACCAACAACATGTAAAAACAATCGATCAACAAAGCATTAGGTCAGGAACTGTATATGGTACAAAGACAAAAATTGGAACAGTCCTTGTTTTCAATCAATCAGCAACTTCCAACCAACCTTGACCAACATTTTGTAATTATGTCATTAATATATTATCAACCTCCACTAAAGTCCTACTCTGAGGCCTCATTTCTGGAAGTCATGCCAGTAGAACACACGGTCTGCTAGGTCCTACCAAATTGGAAAGGTTTTGAGTAGCAGTCTAGACTATACGCCTGAGATCTGAGGACAAACCTCACTAATTCTGGAGTGGTTTGGCTACTAAATGATAACTCTCTTTGGCTATAGCAGTTCATGAAAAAAAATCTACTAAAGTGTGGACATGTGACAATTTGTAGAGGGAGTAAGTACCCATACCAACAAAATCTCATAATTTCAAAGCACGTTATGAGCAAACCCTGTCATACTTCAATATTTCACTGTATTGCAGCACTTGGGGGTCTCACTGATGTGGGGATTCCTTCCGCTGGTTCAAGCTTACAATTCTATCCCATAGAAATCCTATGCTTTCTAATTCTGTGCTATGCTTACCCAATATCTCCTTTACATATCCTTTATGGGTGATCTGCCTAACTTGCTGGAGATCTTTCTCTAGATAGATTGTAAGCTCTTTTGAAGGCAAGGACCATTTCATTTTTGTCTTTGTACTGTGTGTGCACAGTTCCTGGCACATGGTAGATGCTTAATAAATGTTCTGTTGATTGATCATTTTTTCAGATGTTTTTGCCACAGAGAACCAACAGAATTTTGAGATTTTGGAGAATCTTGAGCTGAGCCCACAAGAGCATGAGGGAACTTAGAGATGCTGACAGAGGAAGGAGGGAGAGAAGACTGACCCCGCTGTAGATATGGTGTAAGACATCCCGAATAGGTCCTACACCCAGGTCTGTATTCATTACAACCTTGACCCCAGTGGGCGTCTCATAGTAATGAAGCTTGTAGCGGCTTGTCTGGAAGGCAAGGAATCCATCTTTCCTGCAGAATGGATGTTAAGGAATACATTTGCTCTAGACCTATGATTTTATTGCTATAGGTACATCTCATGTAGAAATTCCCTCCATTGATGAAAATCTGTAATTAGCCTGTAACTTATTATCTTAGAGAGTTGCCTGGGTACTAAGAGATTACGAGACTTCCTCATGGTCACAAAGCTATAGCATGTCTGAGGCAGAACTTGAATCCAAATCTTCCAAAAAATACCCACTTTTGCAAGAACTTTGGAGAACAGGGTAGAAATATCTTACTTTCTCTCCCATCTTTGACTCTCGCTACACTCATCCAAAAAAAAAATACCCTTCATCCTAGTGAAGGGCTTTAGAATCCTATACCCTTTCTCTCCCAGCTCTAACACTTTTTTCCCATTTGGTCCCATCCACTAAGTCCTATCCCCATTCCCGGATCATATTATCTCAAAACCTTATGGTCAGCCAACTTCCTCTCCAGGGTCCTTTTCTCTGTAGGTCCAAGAAGCCCAAACCCCATTCCCACCCTTAGGATACATGTCCACAGGTGACATCTTGCTGACAAAAGATCGGATGGAGAAGAGCATTCCATACATCAGCTTGTACTCCTGACAGGAGCCGGGAATAACAACAAACATTTCACATTTATGCATACTTATCAAGTGCTTTCCTCACCGCATCGCAGCAAGGGTGGGGGCTGGGAAGGGGACTGTACTATGCCCATATCACAGAGAAGGGGACTGAGGCCCTGAACAATTAAATTATCTCATAAAAGGAAAATGAGGCAGGGAATGGGAGAAATGACTTGGCCAAGGTCGGCACAGCGAGTTAAACCCTGGGTTCTTTTCCCTAGGCCACCCTGCCCAGAGTGGGAAGGGATGGGGAAGTGCTGGGGGCCAGCATAAGGGTCCAGGAGAGCACGCCGTGGTGCAGCATTCCCCCCCCTTCCCTGATCGTGCGTGTCACCTCCTCCTTGGGGATCCCCGCCTGCTTCTTGCGGTGCCACTCGCTGTAGTGCAGGCAAACCCCATCTCGGTCAAACAAATACAGGTTGTGGACAGTCATCTGTGGGCGGGGTGGGGGCTCCGAGTTAGTCTGGGGAGCACCCACTTCTCGCTCCCGCCTGAAGCCTCTTCCTTCCAACCTGGGATCTCCCCACTTCCCCAGCACCCATTCTGCCCCCTTCCCGAGCCGATTCCAGAACACGGCTCCCGAGACTCACCAGAAATACACCCCAGCCGTGCGCGTGCGTACCTGGGAACCACGGGGGGGGGAGTGTCCTCTGTCACCTACCACTTCCGGTTCCTGCTGCGACCCAACTCCGTTTTCACGGAGACGCGCGGGGACGCGTAAGACAGTCCCGCCCCCTCCGAATGGCTCCGCCTCTCCTAGCGCCGCCACACCGAGCGTCCTCTGCCCGCTTCCCCCACAGCCAATCCTCTGTGGCGCTGGAAAGGCGTACGCTGCCCCCTCCCAGCGCCTCCAACCCCATTCAAGTCCACGCCCCTCAGCCCGCCCCTTTCCCGGGCTCTTTGAGCAGCCCTAGTTCAAACGGGCGATTTGGGCCTCGCGTGCGGCCAGAACCCTACCGGGGCGGATGGATGCAGTGGTGCGCGGGCGGGAGGCCAGGAAAACGGGCAGGTGGCATCCAACTGTTCTTGGAGGGGGAAGGGAAAAGGATCACCCACCCCCAGGAGGTGGGGGGGGTCTGCGGAGGGAGCGACCCCCACACACACATGTCTTTTCTATATTAACGTGGTTAAGGATGCAAGGGCCCAAGTGGAGGGGAAAGCAAAGCTGGGGGAGTGGCCTGGACTCCAGAACTAGGGGAGGATGGCGGCCAAGGGCAGCTAGGGAAGGACCTCTCCACTGGCGTTGACTGAGGAGGTGGATGGCCCAGAAAAGCCAGGTGATGAAATTCTTCCCAGGAAGGACTGGAGGGTATGCTCAGGGGCCTTGGTTCTCTCTGGGGAGGACACAGGGCCCCTAAAGGATTTGACCCCCCCAGGAGATTGATCAGGTAGGAGTCTGAAGGAAGTGGAGCCATATTTGGGGCCCTCTTGGGGGTCCCACCCTTGGTTTGCATCTCTACCCCTCTAGGGATGCTTAGAGCTAAAGTGGGGCATCTGCTGCAAAGTAGGCTGATCTTCCTGCTACCACCCACACCCTGTTGGACAGGAGGAACTGCAGGGTAACTCTAGCTATCCTCTTCCTCCTTTTCTCTCTTTTCCTTTTCCTCCTCCCTCTCCCCCAACCCTGAAACAGGTAAGCTTCCCTCACTTTGCCTACTATCTTTACTCTCAAGAGCTATAGAAGAGAAGTTTCTTGCCACATTCTGTGGCCTCTAGACTCAGGAGAATCCGACAGGCTTGGTCTGGGAGCCATGGTGACTTGGAACAATGAAGTATTCTTGGACTAGAGTCCTGATCCAGAGGGAGACATTGGAGTGCATGCACTCAGGGCCGATGGAAGCAGCAGTGATTTAAGCCTATGGAGATGTCTCAGCAAGCTGACCCTCTGGGTATGAGCCCAATCTGTTTTGGGGAGATTTCCTCCTGCTACTCCTTCCTGGACCCCATCTCAGCAAGCCCTTTTCCTATGCTGTTTTCTTTTTCTCCTGGGCACCTTTTGAATGGAGCCAAGAGATTTCTCGTTCCCCCTGCCTTTAGCTCTCTTCCCCTCTAGCCTCCATGGCAGCTCAAGCTCCAAGCCCCAACTCACCCCTCCGGCCAGAGGACCTCCTGAGTGATGCAGCAGGTCCCCCTGGACGGAGCCAAGGAACGTTCTCAGAGGTGACGTCTCAGCTTTATGCTTCTTTGCGGCAAAGCCGAAAGGCAGAAGCCACTGCCAGGAACAGTCTGTACCTGGCCTCCAACTCAACACCTCCTCCTGAAGAACTTGAGGGCCTTGCCCGAGAGCTGAGCCGAAGCCTGTCAACTGGGGTAGAGACCAGTTCTCAGAGAAAGGTGGGGCTGGGCACTTGGGGTGATGGATACTCAGGTCATTGGATGAATATAGAAACAAGATAGGTTTTGTAAAGGGTTGAATTTGGATTGCATGCTTTAATTCAACAAATATTTATTAAGAACCTACTCTGTAGCTGTGTGATCCTGGGCAAGTCATTTAACCCCGATTGCCCCACTAAAAAAAAAAAAAGAACCTACCCTGAGGAAGCATGGTGCCAGACAAAAAAGAAACACTCCCTTGTCTTACATTTTAACATGTGCATGGATAAGCAAATTTGGGGTGGGGACCAGGAATCAAGAAAGATTCCTATGGGAGGTAGAGAAAATAAGAATTCTAAGAAGTAGTAAGGTGGGGGGTGAATTCCAGGTATAAGTGACAGCCTATAAGTGTGAAGATAGACAATAAAATGCTAGGTTTGATGAACATCTAGTAGTCTAGTTTGGCTTGAACAGGGAATTTGTCAACAGAAATTAATATAAAATAAGTCAGATTGGAGCCAGATGGTAGAAGGTTTTAGATGGTAGCTCAAAGACTTTACGTTTTTTCCTAGAGGCATCAGGAAGATGTTGAATAATTTTGAGCAGGGGAGTGACATTTTTAGGTATGGACTTTAGGAAGGTTATTTTGGCAGTTTTGTGGAGTTAGGTTTGGAAAGGGCAGAAAATTGGAATCAGAAACAGAATTAGAAAGCCATGAACAATGACATCTTAGGCCCGATGGTATGTAGTAGGGCATATTCCTGTGTAGAAGGAGGGAGGTGTGAAGATAGAAACAGTATTCTAGCAGCTGAGTGGATGTGGGAGGTGAGGGAGAAGGAATCATTGCTGGCTCAAAACCTACAAACCTGCATAACTGGAAGGATGGTATTGTCCTCAAAAGAAATAGGGAAGTCTAGAGGAGTGGTTTTAGGAGGAAAGAGGATTCCATTTTGGACATACTGAGTTTGAGGTTTAGTGGGAAATTCAGGTGGAAATGTCCAGCGGGCAGTTAGCAATTTGGGACTTGGAATTCAGGGTAGAGACTAGGGCTAAATGTATAGATTTGAGAGTCATCCTCCCAGAGAATATTTCATCCTTGGGAACTAATGAGATTGTGGGAGAGAGGAAAGCCCAGGATAAAAGGCAAGAACTATATGATTATTCATTGAAAGAAGTGAACAATCACAGATGCTAAAGGAGTGGAAGACGAAGGTAGTCAACACTGACAAAAATTTTAGAGAGATTAGGTAATTTGAGGACTGAGAAAATGTAGATTTAGCAGTTAAGAGTTGAGGTAACCTTAGAATTTAATACCTTGGAAGCTACCATTGCAATAATAGCTAGCATATATGCTATATATATGACCCTGAGCAAGTCATTTAACCCTGTTTGCCTCAGTTTGCTCATCTGTAAAATGAACTGGAGAAGGAGATGACAAACTACTGAAGTATCTTTGCCAAGAAAACCTTGAATGGGGTCATGAAGAGTCAGACACGATTGAAATATTTTTTAAATTTTTGACTTTTAATTTAATTTAATTTTAAGATTTGCAATAAATTATTCATTTTTTTCATTCAAATTCTTCATAAATTATCTCATTTAATCGTTACAACCACCATGCGAGGTAGTTGCTATTCTTATCAACCCTATTTTATAGATGAGGAAACAGACTGAGAAAGGTGACTTACCCAGGGTGACAAGCTAATAAAAGTCTAAGGCAGGATTCAAATTCAGTTCTTCCTGATTCTAAGTAAAGCCCCTTTATTTCATTGCGTCACATTATAGTGTGGAGCCAATCACACTTGTTATTAGTAACTGGTATTTGTGAGAGGGAGAAAGGACCAGAATAACTGAGTTTGGCATACTGGAAGAGCCTCCCCAACCTGTTACACAAATAATACTTTTAGGAAGGGATGGGGATGTGTTGGGGACTTAGACCCTAGGAAGATCTAGAGTCATATCTACACTGGGAAATAGGGGTAAAATGCCTGGTTACAACATATGACCAGGAAATTAAAGATAGTAGCAAAGTAACAAGATTTAACATTAGCACTTTGAATTTTGAATCTAGTGAGTTAATCATAAAACATAGTATTCTAGTTGAACATACCATCAAGAAGGTTGTTATTTCTTAGAGAGAAAAAGCTAGTGGTTCTCAGTGGGATCACTTCATTTATACCCATTTGGGAGACACTAAAGTACCTAGGTCCTAGAGTTGGGGGTGGGATGGGGAAAAGGGAAGACGATAATGTCTTCCTTGACAGGAAACAGAGTGTAGGATTAAACAGGCTCTGGGTCTCTGTCCTTCAGGGAGGCTCTCAGCATATCTTGGAGATGGAAAGTGTACGGGGTCACCTACAAAGCATGCTTCAAGCTTCTCGGGACACTGCTTCTCGTAAGTGAGCCTGCTCCCCTGGGGCCATGGAAGGAATATGTAGCCAAGAGGGCTGGAAGAGCATGGAAGGGAAGTAGCAGGGAAGAAGGTGAGGTAGAAAGGACTGTTTGTTACCTTTCATCTTCAAATGGGCCCTGCCCCTCTCCGTACCTTACCCCTAGCCGTTTGATTCCTCTGGCTGCTTGCAGGGGATAACCTTATTCCAGGTACTGTCCCAGAGAGGCGAGAAGAGGACTCTTTTGACAGTGATAGCACATCCACCCTGCTAACGTAAGTTATCCTTACACCCTTGTGAGTCATATAGGTGTCCTGTGCTATGGGATTTAAGTTCTTAAACCATCTGTCCTTTCTTCTGTAAGCTCTGCTTTGTTTTGGAATGCAGGCGTTCAGGTTCCCAACTTCTCTCATTTCTTTACTCAGAATTTTCCTCCCCTTACTGTTAACTTCTCTGCTTATAGTGGTATAGCATTTTAATGGTATAGCAAGGTATAGTGGACAGGGCACTGGGCTATGAATCATGAGAGTTGGACTCTTGGCTCAATCTACCATTAATTAGTTAAGGGACTTTGGGTATGGTTCTTCACCTCTGTGAGCTTCAATTTCTTCATCAGTTATAGGAGGGGACTGGATTAATCTGATTTAATCTAAGGTCCTTGCTAGCTCTAAGTTTCTGTGATTTGCTCAGTATGCGGCCCCTCCAAGAGCTATCTCTACCCAGCTCAGCTCCAGCCTTGGAAGAGTTGTTTCCTCGATATACTAGTGTCCGGCCTGGAACTCCACACTACTTTCCTGATCTGCAGGGACTGAGAGAAGCCTTGGATACTGAACATACTCGACGTAGGGTAAGTTGAGGAATTGAAGGAGGAAAGTGTAGTTGAATCATTCCCAGGGGAGTGAAAAGAACCAATAGTGTGGGACCAATTACATAGGTCTTGGACCTGAAGGAATAAACTATAAACTACTTGATGTCCGCTATCTTACATCCTCTACACAAGCTGTATTGGAGAGGGAGAAGGGGCATGAAAATAAAGTAAACATTGCCCTTAATTTATTCCCTTCTAGGGAACATAATTGTCCACAAGCCCTAATCTCCTAGATGGAGGGAAGGTGTGGGGAATCTTTCTTAACACCTGCCCTGTTCAGCGGATGTGTACAGTAGGCTTCTTCGGTGGGAGTTACTTGCCATCTTTGTTATTACTTAGGTCTCCAAGACCCTTTCCCAGGGAGCTGGGAAAAGAGGAAACTCAAGAGAAGGGTTGCATTTAAGTCTGGTTCTTGAAGGCTAAGAAGAACATGTTAGGGAGATATTTGAAGCTCAGTCCTCAACCTGCCTTCCCTTTTGTGACTCAGATTCATGCTCCATGGTCACCAGTTGTCCCTTTTTTAGCCCAAACTGCGCCACTTGGGACCTAAACAAACTGTTTTGAAGCCTTCATTTTTCTGTACCAGAAGGCTCTGGTAGTACTGTGGCTTGGGCCAGAATAGGTAAAAAAATGAATGCTATTCCTTGCTTTTTTTGCTTTTTTTCCCTAAATTAATTTATTTTGAATTATCAACAGTCACTTCCATAAGCTTTTGAATTTAAAATTTTTCTCTTTCTGTCTCTCCACCAAGACGGCATGCAATCTGATATAGGCTATACATACACATTCCTGTTAAACATATTTTCACATTAGGAATGTTGTAAGTAAGAATTAGAACCAATAGGAGGAATCACTAGAAAGAGGAAACAAAACACAACAGAAGAAAAAAAAATAGCAAATGGTATGCTTCAATCTGCATTCAAACTCCGTTGTTCTTTCTTTGGATGTGGATAGCATTTTCAATCATGAGACCTTTGGAGATGTCTTAGATCTTTGTATTGCTGAGAAGGGTTAAGTCTAAAAATATTAGTCATCGCACAAGGTGGCTGTTACTGTGTACAACATTCTCCTGGTTCTGCTCACTTCACTCAGCATCAGTCCATAAAAGTCTTTCCAGGTTTTTCTGAAGTCAGCCTGTTCATCATTTCTTATGGCACAGTAGTATTCCATTACATTCACATACTACAACTTGTTCAGCCATTACCCAATTGATGGGCACCTTGCTTTTTTTTTTTCCCCTTAGCACTGTGAGCGTCACATCCAGAATCTACAAACCCGGGTGTTAGAACTGCAGCAGCAGTTAGCTGTAGCTGTGGCTGCAGACCGAAAGAAGGATCTTATGATTGAGCAACTGGACAAGGTGCCAGGGGAACAAGGGAAGCTGGGCCTGGAGTATAGTATCACCTGCCCAAACAAACAGGGAAGCAAGAGATTGGATTTAGCCATATTGGAATTGTGGAACAATGAATGAGAAAATTCTATTTATTTAGTATTTTAATTTTTCCCCAATTATATGTAAAAACAATTTTTAACATTCATTTTTAAAAATTTTGTGTTCCAAATTCTCTCCCTTCCCACTCATTGAGAAGGCAAGCACTTTGATACGGGTTATATTATGTGCATTATGCAAAACGTTTCCGTATTAGTCATGTTATGGAGAATGAAAGAATTATAGACACAGGTTTTCTGACTATTTGTTTATTCTCATACATATGCTAGGAGATGGAGGTGGTCACCAATCCAGTCAGAAGACAGAGACGCAACTGAAAAATTGTATAGGATCTCACCAAACCTTCCCTTCCTCCTCCTCCCCTATCCTATCTAGACCTTGGCCCGAGTGGTAGAGGGCTGGAACCGACATGAGGCTGAGCGGACAGAAGTACTTCGGGGGCTGCAAGAGGAGCAAAAGGCTGTTGAGCTTACTCGAAGCCAACAGCAAGAGGTACATACCTAGGGATCAGAAGACAAGGTAGCTTCCATAAGGTAGAAAGGATTAGGGAAGGTAGAACTTTAGTCATAAGAAACGTGACACTAGATTTAGTTCTTTTTTTTTAAAATTTATTAATTTATTTTGAGTTATCAACAATCATTTCCATAAGCTTTTGAGTTTTAAATTTCTTCCCGTCCCTCCCTACCTCCGTCCCCAAGATGGTATGCAATCTGACATAGGCTCTACGTATACATTCCTATTAAGCATATTTTCACATTAGTCATGTAGTAAAGAAATTTGAACTAATAGGAGGAACCCCAAGAAAGAAGAAACAAAACAAAACAAGAAAAAAAAAGCAAATAGTAAGCTTCCATCTGCATTCAAACCTCATAGTTCTTTCTCTGGATGTGGATAGCATTTTCCGCCTTAAGATTTTTGGAGATATCTTATATTTTTGCATTGCTGAGAAGAGCTAAGTCTTATCAAATTTTTCTCACCATATGGCTGTTACTGTGTACAGTGTTCTCCTGGTTCTGCTCATTTCACTTAGCATCAGTCCATACAGGTCTTTCCAAGTTCTTCTGAAGTCTGCCTGCTCATCATTTCTTATAGCACAATGGTATTCCATTACATTCATATACCACAACTTGTGCAGCCATTTCCCAGTTGATGGGCATTCCCTCAGTTTCCAGTTCTTTGAGCTGCTATAAATATTTTTGTACATGTGGGTCCTTTTCCCATTTTTATGATCTCTTTGGGATACAGCCCTAGAAGTTCTATTGCTGGGTCAAAGGGTATGCACATTTTTATAGCCCTTTGTATGTAGTTCCAAATTGCTCTCCAGAATGGTTAGATCAGTTCACAACTCCACCAACAATGCATTAATGTTCCAATTTTCCCACATCTCCTCCAGCATTTATTATTTTCCTGTTTTATCATGTTGGCCAATCTGATAGGTGTGATGTGGTACTTCAGAGTTGTTTTGATTTGCATTCTCTAATCAGTAGTGATTTAGGGCATTTTTTTTTCATATGATTATAGATAGCTTTAATTTCTCCTATATTTGGGTTCTTAACCTGCAGTTTTTGAACTGTTTTAAAAAAATATTTTGATAAACTTTTCCAGTATGATTGATTTCCATTGTCATTTTATGCATTTTAAAACATTCTGAGAAGGAATCCAGAATAGGGTACCTTTAATCTAGACTTCACCAAATTGCTAAAGGGATCCATGACACAAAAAAAGTTAAGAGAGAGGAGATTCTGAGGTTGAACATGGTCTTTTGAACAATATAACTGATGCCCTTTGTGTTTTACACCAGTCAGCTATATCCTGATATTGCATTCTCCTTACCCCATAACAAAAATAAACAGTTAAGCAAAACCACCCAACACGGAGACCTCATTTATTAGCATGCAGCGTCCATTGTGTTCCATCAGTCCAAACTCAAAAAAGTCCTGTCGTCTCTCTGTATTCAGTATTGGTTGTTCAGTATAATCTGAGTTCGGCTGCTTTTTAGTGTTGTTTTCATTAGTGTCATTATGCACATTGTTCCCTTTATTCTGCTTTCTACACTGCATTAGTTCACACAGATCTTCCCTTGTTTCTTTAAATTCTTTATGATCATCATAATCTTTTACTACGTTCACATGCCACAATTTTTTCAGCCCTTCTTTAGCTGATGGGCACTCACTCTGTTTCCAGCTTTATGCTACCAAAGTAGTCCTGCTATATATATATATATATATATATATATATATATATATATATATATATATATATTGTTATATGACAATGAGATTGTCTATCTTAAGGAACATACCCAGTATTGGGATTACTAGGTCAAAGGTTATAAAAAACTTAATCACTTTTTTTTGCATAATTCCAAAGTTATCCAGATCAGTTAGACCGATTTATAACTCCACAAACAGTCCATTATTGTGCCTATCCAATGGTGACTTTCTGTCTTTTTATCATCTTTTCCAATTTGATGGGCAATTTGAAGTCAAATCTCAGAGTGTTTAATTTTTGCTTCTTTTATTAATGATTTGGAACATTTATTTAAATTGTTTTGGTTGGTTTGTAATTCTTTTGAAAACTTCCCATGCTTTGACCATTGAACATGATCATGAAGCCTCACTTGGTAGGTCTGCCACTCCACCCCCAAAATTAGTACCATTACCCCTCTAATCTCTCCCTTTACCCCATTTGACATTCAAAAAAAAAAAGATTTAGTACCATATTTGGGGAAATTGGATGCCCCTGCCCAGTTAGCCCCTGGATCACTAAGAGCTAACTTTAGTTTGGAGTATGTATATTTTGTGTATTCTGGTAGGGACGACTTGGGTCCTCATTCTCCCTGAATTCTATCCTCTCTTCCTTCCTCCCTGCCTTTAGACCATAACTCGCCTAGAACAGAGTCTAAAGCAGACCAAGGACGCCCTGAGTAGGGAGCGGGAAGGGGCCACCCAACAGCAACAGGAGCAAGAGACATTGGTGAGAGAGCCAGACTGATTTCACTTATCCTGGGACTCTGATACCTGGCATGCAAGGAGCTAGTGTCCTGCTTCTGGGTTCTGACTGAAGAGTTGAGATGTGAATCAAGTGTATGGGTAGAGAGAATGAGGTGATTACTAATATGTGCTAGGAGCTAAGTGTGGAATTTGCTACGTATTGTACTAAAGGACTTGTCTTGATGACAATAGTCCAGTTTTAGTGGTAAGGAATGTTGAGCCAGAATTCCAATCTTAGGTCTTTCTATCATTGCCTGCTGAGATTTATTTGACTTATAACTTGTGATTCATAATAATAATAACACATTTTTATGTTTAGAAATAGAAATGTTTAGAAATCACTTTCCTCACAACAATCCTATGATGTAGATAGTGTTTAGTGTTATTATCTCCATTTTACAAATAACTTCTGTGAGCCACAGTTTCCCTGAGTGAGTTGTCAAAGGTTATATGGTTAATAAAGGACAGAGCTGGTACTTAAATCCAAGATGTCTGGACTCGAATATACCATACACTATGAATACACCATGTATGAGTGGTGTCTGTTGGCTTGCTGGGAAGGCATAGGTTTAAAGAGGTTATTTCCCAAGTATGGGAGATGAGGTTTGTCACTGGGCCTCGGTGGTTATCCTGGTTGTCTGTTGCGGTTGTAGAAGGAAGCACGACAAGCTTTAGCTCGTAGCTTAGAGCGGGAACAGCAGCGGTGTCGGACTCTGCAGGAGGAGCGGGATGAGGCACGGACAGAGCAGCTGAATCAGCATAGAGAGCTAGAAGCACTCCAGGCTGCCTTGGAGGAAAAGCACCAGGCCTGGACCCTGCGTGAACGCCAGCTAGAAGAGCGCTGTAAGAGTCTACAAGAGGAGGGCCGGATCCAGCTGGAGAGGGAGCAGGTGAGGAAAGGAGAGGTGTTGGAATGAAGCCTGGGGTAGAGAGGGGAGAATGAGCAGAAAGTGGGGCATCAATGGGGAAGGACTTAAGGCAAAGAGACTGAAGTACAGAAATAGAGTTTACTAGGGATGATGGTGGCAAATGAGGGAAGGAATTTGGAAGACAAGGCCGAGAGGACATGGTTCTAGCAGGAGGGACAGGTTGCTAAGGAGAGTTATGGATGTATAGTAGTTTGGCTTAGGCTGGAGAGTAGAGTGTAGAGACTGGGCTAGAAATAGCCTTTGAGGAGGGTATAAAGTACTTTGATTTTCCTTTCTCCTTAGGCAAACTCTCAGCGGGAGGTACAAGCAGCCCGAGAGGCTCAGCAGCTCCTGGCCTCTGTTCAGTCGGATGTGCAGAGATTAGAAGAGGAATTAGACACAGCACGGCGAGAAAGAGATGCTGTACAGCTGGAAACCAGCCTGGTGCAGGTCAGGGGGTAGGGAGAGTATTGGGATTCATTGACTTTTTCCCTGGTTGAGAAAGGTTTGTCCAAGATCCTTGAGTGTCAAAAAAGAGACTTGATTTTAGGTTGCTAAGTGTTTATTTCTACTACATTACCAATGTTGGTAGAGCTAGTACACATTATTCCTTGCTTTTCCTCCAAACTCATTTCACTTGAGGACACCATTGTGCCAGTTGTCCAAACTTTCTCCCTTGCCCCTGACATCCAGTCATTTCTCAGATCACATAATTTCTACCTCCAAAACATCTTTCTTCTGTTGCTTCTCCATACATATCAACAACAAGCATTTATTAAGTGTCTACTATGTGGCAAACACTGTGATAAGCTCTGGGGATACAAAGAAAGGCAAAAACAGCCTTGATGGCAGCATCAGGAAAGTCCCAATCAAATGAGGGAGACAGTATGCAAACAGCTTAGTTACGAATAAGATATATACAGGATAAATTGGAGATAAAGAGAGAAGGTACTAGCATTAAGGAGGATTATGGAAGGCTTCTTGTAGAAGATAGGATTTTAGCTATTTTAGCTGAGACCTAAAGAAAGCCAGAAAGGCAGGAGGCAGAATTGATGAGGGAAAGAGTTCTAGGCATGGAGGAGACGCCAGTGAAAAGGCACAGTCAAGAGATGGAATATCTCAGCAAGATGACACAAATGGAATATAACAGCCAGGAGGCCAGTAGAGTGGAGTAAAGTATAAGAAGACCGGAAAAGTAGGAAGGTGCCAAGTTTATAAAGGGCTTTAAAAGACAAACATAATTTTATATTTTATCGTGGAGGTAATAATGAGCCATTGGAGTTGATTGAAAAGGGGGTGATGTTATGGTTACACCTGTGCTTTAGGACTATCACTGACTGATAGCGGAGTAGAGAGGATGGACTGGGGTAAGGAGAGACTTGTGGCAGGCAGACCCACCAGCAAGCTACCTCAGTAATCCAGGTGTGAGGCAATGAGAAACTGTATCAGAATGGTGACAGTTGCAGAGGAGAGAAGAAGCATGTATGAAAGATGTTATATACATAAAATCAACAGGCCTTTGCAATAGATTGAATATGGAGGTGAGGGCATGAGAGAGAGTCAGGAGCTGAGAATGACTCCTAGGTTGGGAGCATGGGTAAATGGGAGTATGATGGTGCCCTAGACAGTAATAAGAAAGTTAGGAAGAGAAGTTACAGGGTTTTAGCCCCCTATCACCTCTTTTTTAAAAGGCATTTTTCTGACCTCTTACCTGGACCTTTGAATAACCTTTGAATTAACCCCTGTGTTTTCAGTCCCAAACTGTTCTCCACACTACTGCCAAAATAGTCTCTATAAGGAACAAGTCTGAATATCACCCTTCTGTTCAGTAACCTTCAAAGGCTTCTCATTGCCTTGGGGAAAAAATATGAACTTCTTATTTAATAAGACCTTCCACGGTCTGCCTCCTAGCTCTGCCTTTCCAATCTTATTTCATACAACTTCTCTTCTAATCAATTAAACATTCATTAAGTACCTTTTACATGCCAGGCCTTGTGCTAATTTGCTGCGGGTACAAAAAGAGGCAGAAGACAGCCCCGGCCTTCAACGAATTTACAGTCTGATAAGAGCAATGACAAGCAAAGATGTATACAGGCAAGCTGTGTACAAGATAAGTAGGAAAAAACAGAGAGAAAGTACTAGAATTAATAGGGGTTAGGAAAGGGTTCCTGTGGAAGGGGGGTGATTTTAGTTGGAACTTGAAAGGAAGCCAGAAAGGTCAGTAGTTGAGAGATTAGAGTGAGAATGTTAAAGGCATGGGGGACAGCCAGAGAAAAAGCCCAGAGCTAAGAGATGGAATCTCTTGTTCGTGGAACAGCAAAGAGGCCAGGGTCACCAGATTGAAGAGTACATGTTGAAGAGTAAGGTATAGAAAGACTTAGACCAAAGAAAGGGTAGGTAGGGGTTAGGTTATAAAAGGCTTTGACATATGATTTTGAATTTGACCCTGGAGACAATAGGGAGCCACTGGAGTTTATTGAGTAGGGAGGTGATGTTATCAGTCCTGAGCTGAAGGAAAATCATTTTAATGTCTGAATGAAGGGTAGATTGGAGGCAGAAGAGACTCGAGGCAGGCAGTCTCACCAGCAGGCTGTTGCAGTAATCTGAATGTGAAGTGATGAAGACCTGCACCAGGGTCAGAGGAGAGAAGGGGACATAACCAATTCTATGTCTCAACCAAACGTGAGGCTTGTTCCCTGAGCTCTATAGTACAATACGTCTCTTACAATCCAGATGTGCATTTCTCCACACCTTATTCTATTTGCTCCTTATCTGCATCTTTTAGAGAATTCTTTCCAAGAGCAACTTGGATGCCACCTCTGTGAAACCTCTTCTCACTCCCTCCCCCACCTTTAGTCTTCTCTCTCTCTCTCTCTCTCTCTCTCTCTCTTTTTTCTTTCTGTGTCTCCCTCTCTTAAATTACCTCAAGTCGTATTTCATTGTATACACATATTTTCCTTTCCTCTCAGTAGGATGTTGAAAAGGGCAGAGCTTATTTTATCTTTATCTTTGTGTCCCAAGCACCTAGTACGGTACCTTATACTTGTTGTTATATATATATTACATATATTGTATGTAATATATATTAGTGTTTTTGTTCAGTCGAGTCCATCTCTTCATGACCCTGTGAAAACCACAGCATACCAAGCCCTTCTGTCCTCTACTGTCTTCCAGTCTGTCCAAGTTCACGTTAATTGCTTTGATAACACTATCTATCCATTTCATCCTCTGCTGTCTCCTCCTTTTGCCTTCAATCTTTCCCAGCATCAGAATCTTTTCCAGTAATTCCATATTTTCATTATATTTAAGCTTCAGTATTTGGCTTTCCAATGAATAGTTATTTAATTTCTTTAAATATTGACTGATTTGATCTTGCTGTCCAAAGAACTCTCAAAAGCCTTCAACAGCTCCACAGTTCAAAAGCGTTGATTCTGCCATGCTCGGCTTTCCTTATAGTCCAACTCTGATAGCCATTCGTTACTACTGGAAAAACCATAGCTTTGACTGTATGGACCTTTGTTGGCAAGGTGTTGTCTCTGCTTTTTAGTACGCTGTCCAGATTTCCCATACTTTTCCTTCCAAGGAACAAGTGTCTTTTAATTTCGTGGCTGCTGTCAGTGTCTGCAATGAGAATGTAAATATAAATAGAATATAAATAAAAATGAAATAAAAAAATAAAATAAGTAAAATAAACTAAAAAATAAATAAATAAATATAAATAGAAGATAAAATCTGACACTGCTTCCATTTCTTCTCCCAGGAAATAATGGGACCAAATACCATGGTCTTAATTTTTTTTTAATGTTAAGCTTCAGGCCAGCTTTTACAATCTCCTCTTTCACCCTCAGCAAGAGGTTTCTTAATTCTTCACTTTCTGCCATCAAGAGTTTGCGTATCAGGTTGTTGCTATTTCTCCCAGCAGCCTTAATTCTAGCTTTTGATTCGTCCAGCCTGGCTTTTTGCATGATGTACTGTGAACATAAGTTAAAAATAAGGTGATAATAATATGCAGCCCTATCATGCTCCTTTCCCAGTCTTGAACCAATCAGTTATTCCATGTTCACTTCTGTCATTTCTGGACTCGAATACTCCCCTCCTGTGGGAGTCCCATAAGGACTTGCCACAATAGTAGATATTTCATGTTTGTTCAATTTAATGGAATTGAAAGTAAGTACACAATAAAGTATGTACCTTTATACAAGTTTAAATCATGATCTTAGTATATTTTCTGTTAATAAGTTGGTGCATACTTCATTCCTTGTAGAATTATTTTATTTTTTAATTAAAGTTTTGTTTTTTCAACCATTAAGTATTTATTTTTTTTTCCTCCTCTGGATGAGGAATGAAAAACAAAACCCTTGTTGCAAAATAAACGTAATTAAGCAAAATACATTCCCATGTTGGCTGTGTCCAAAATGTACCTCATTTTATTCATTACATTGTGTCAGGAGGTGAGCTGCATTCTTCACTGCTTGTCTGGAATTCTAATTGATCATTGTGTTGATCAGTTAAGTGTTTCAAATTTGTTTCTACGATGTTAATGTTATAGTGTAAATTCATCTGCTCACTTCACTCTGCATCCATACAAGTCTTCCTAAGTTTCTCTGAAATTCTCCCTTTCTTAATTTCTTATAGCATAATAATATTCCATTACATTTGTATACCATAATTTGTTCAGCCATTCTTCAATTGATGGGCACCCCTCCTCCTTAGTTTCTAGTTCTTTGCACCATAAAATATTTTTGAACACATAGATCCTTTTCCTCTTTCTTTGATCTCCTTGGAGTATAGGCCTAATAGTGGTATTGTTGGGTCAAAAGATGTATCCAGTTTAGTAACATTTTCGGGCAAAGTTCTGATTTGCTTTTCAGAATAGCAGTACTCATTTACCGCTCCCCCAACAGTGTATCAGTGTGCCTGCTTTCTCAAGTTAGCTAATTTTAGAAGGGGATAGTCTTTCTCCTTTGAAAGAAGAATAATTTGATTTTATCTTTTGAAAGATGATTAATTCACAGACTGGTAGGAGGAAGGGGTTAGCTCCTTGTTCCTTGATTGAAAGAAACTCTTTGCTTTGCCTCCCTTCTGCTTGTGAATGGGTGTGTGTGTGTGCGCACATGTGCATGTGTGCATGTAAATAAGAGAGAGAGTGATATTAGGCAGATTTGTTCTGTATTCTGGCTTTAGCTTCTTTAAACCTCATTAGGGAGCAGAGACTGGGTTCCTAGGCCAGCCTGACTGTCCTCTGCTTCTCCTCACAACCAGGCCCGGTTTGAAGCCCAGAGAGTACAGATGGAGTCAGAGCTTGCTATTTTGCTAGAGCAGAGAGTAACTGAGCGACTAGCCCAGGTGCAAGAGAGCGGCCTTCGCCAAGTGAGCAGTCTTCGGGAACAACACAGGTACCTAGGATGATCCACGGTTTGGCCCTTTCCTGGCTGTCTCGTCACTCCAGCCCTATGTATACTTGTCATGGGCAGGCCTAGCTTTTCTTTCTTTGACTCCATTTCCCCTTCTCTTGTTTTCCCTTTTCATCCCCAGACTCAGACCTCTCTCATCTCTGGCCCCTGCCTAATTAGGAGCCTTTGTGAAATCTAAAATGCTCCATAGAAGTTGTTTTTATTGCTAATGAATTGGAATTTAATGGTTATTAGGAAGCAGTTACAGGAGTTGAGTGAGCAGCATCAGCAGGAACTGTCCAGTCAGTTGGATCAGTTCCAGGTGGAGTTATCAGAGAGAGAAGATCGGCACCAGCAGGTGGCTCAAGACTATGAGCTCAGGTACTGGCCTCTAGAATCTCCTCAGACTTCTCTGCTGGGCTTGGGTGGCCCAGGATTCTGATTCTCTCAAGATTTCAAGTGTCACACTCCCTAAGCCCTAGCTTGTCTCGTCACCAAGTTATGAGTGATTTCCCCTTGTTTTCCCAGATTGGCACATGAGCAGGCCCGAGGACGGGAGTTACGGATGGCACACCAGCAGCTAGAAGAGCAGCGGGTAGAGCTGGTAGAGAGATTCCAGTCCATGCTTCGGGCTCACTGGGATGAGGCACACCAGCTGCTCAGCACCACGGCCCCTTCTCAGGTAGGCCTCATCCCTTGGACACGCACAGTGAGCTGAGATCAGGTGAAATCAGGTGGAAAATGCTAAGACTTACAAGAAGACAGGAGTTTTTTTAAAGCTGTTTCTGGAGAAATTAGATCAGACAAGAAATAGAACTTGACACTCAGAGTAGATAAGATTATAACCAGTGTCAGAGAAAAGGCAGAGCTGCTCATCTTTTACTTTTGCTTGTTTTTTTTCTTCCAAGGAGAGCGATCTTAGTATTGAAAAGTACAGAATAGAAATGGCTAATAGGGAGTTAATATCCAAGATAGAGAGAGATAATTAAAGAACACCCATGTGCCCTCAATAAATTCTAGTCTAGTATATATTTAGGGTACAAAACAAAACTGATGGATGTGATTACTGAGTCATTGCCAGTGATCTTTGGCAGTAGACAAAGTGCCACAGGATTGGAGAGGGCAAATGTAGTCTTGATTTTAAAAAAGAGAAGAGAATGTAAAGTAATTCAACCATATGCCAGTGAGCTTTGCTTGGATTTCTGGCAAAATTCTAGCACTCTTTTTGTTTGTTTGTTTGTTTGTTTTGACAGGAATCTTTATTTCTTTTTTTAAAAATAATTTATTTGTTTTTAGTTTTCAACATTCACTTCCATAAGATTTGGAGTTTTAAATTTTCTCCCTTTCTCTCTTCTCTCCCCTCCCCAAGACAGTGTGTAATCTTATATAGGCTCTACTTATACATTCATATTAAGCATATTTTCACATTAGTCATGATGTATAGAAGAATTAGAACTAATGGAAGGAACCACAAGGAAGAAGAAATAAAACAAAACAACTAAAGAAAAGGAGAGCAAGTAGTATGTTGCCATCTGCATTCAGACTCTGTGGTTCTTTTTCTGGGTGTGGATAGCATTTTCTATCATGAGTCTTTTGGAGTTGTCTTAGATCCTTGCATTGCTGAGAAGAATTAAGTCTATCAAATTAGTTATCCCACCATGTGGCTGTTACTGTGTACAGTGCTTTCCTGGTTCCGCTCATTTCACTCAACATCAGTTCATATAAGTCTTTCCAGGTTTTTCTGGAGTCTGCCTGCTCATCATTTCTTATAGCACAATAGCATTCCATTACATTCACATACCATAACTTGTTCAGCCATTCCCCAGTTGATGGGCATCCCTTCAATTTCCAATTCTTTGCTATCACACAAAGAGCTGCTATAAATATTTTTGTATATGTGGGACCTTTTCCCATTTTTATGATCTCTTTGGGATACAGACCTAGAAGTGGTATTGCTGGTTCAAAGGGTTAGTACTTATTATTAAAAGTAAGTTTTGCAGACATTTAGAAAAAGAAGTAGTGATCACAAAGGGTTAGTAAGGCTTTGTCAAGAGCAGCTCATGCCAGGGGCGGCTAGGTGGGGCAGCAGATAGAGCACTGGCCCTGAAGTCAGGAGGACCTGAGTTCAAATTTGGCCTCAGACCAAACACTTGACACTTATGAGCTGTGTGACCGTGGGCAAGTCACTTAACCCCAAATGCCTAAAAAGTTAAAAAAAAAAAAGATCATGCCAGTTCAGTCATTCATTCATATCCAACTCTTCCTGATGCCATGGATACTCCAGGCCCTTCTGTCCTCCACTGTCTCTCAAAGTCTGTCCAAGTTCATGTTTATTGTTTCCATGACACTATCTATCCATTTCATCCTCTGCTGTCCCTTTTACCTTTGCCTTCAGTCTTTCCCAGCATCTCAGTCATTTCCAGTGAGTCCCGTCTTCACATCATGTGGCCAGAGTACTTAAGCTTCAGTTTCAGTATCTGATCTTCCAGTGAATTTATTAATTAAAGCCTGAATTAATTTCTTTAAATATTGACTGATTTGCTCTCCTTGCTGTCCAAGAGACTCTCAAAAGTCATCTCTAGCACCACAATTTGAACTGTATTTCCTTTTTTGATAGGGTTTTGAAACTGGTAGATTTGGGGAATTCTGTAGATAGTTAATGTAGATTTTAGCAAGATATTTGATAATATCAGCCATACCATAGTTGTTCAAGAAATGTGTGTTTGATTAGTGAGATAAAAATTACCTGAGGGTCCATTGATGAGGTACTGCTGTCAATCATCAAAGGGATAGTTAACTGCAGTTTTATTACATTCAGAGTATAGTCTTCACTGAACACAAAGTTAGTGAGCCCAGAGCATCAGTTTCATAACTGTATATAGAATGTGAATACATAAGCAGAATGAGCACGGTGGAATTTTATAAGAAGCAAGAGGGGAAAATAAGGATACATACATCAAGAAACAAGTAACAGAGGAGAAAAATAAGGATTTCTGCATCAGGAAGGTCAGGTCTAGTTGATCAAAATTGAAGCTGAAGTTTATGTCCCAGCCTTGATTTTTTTATGTTGATTTTAAATCTAAAAAAATAAGGAAAATGTCTGTGGTTCAAAACTTCAGAGTATAATGATTTAATAAGCAAGGTGGACTGTTGCTGATCAAATCAGATAATCTGACTTCTCAGTAGTCAGAGACAAAGGAATGATTTATAGAGTTTATTTATATAAGAAAAGAGGAATTAAAAGTTGCAGCAATCTTAGGAAACTTGTTTTGAACATAATTCAGTTGGACAAGGCAGGTCATTTGACTTGTGGTCAGGCTAGGTACATCCTGAAGCACATTGAATACAGCTTGATGTTATCGCCAGCCTTTGGAGTAAGGGCATATCAGGGGTGTAACAGGGGCTTTCTAGGATGGAACATCTATTAAATCTCATATTCTGTTGGATTAGGGCCTGTGTCTATCAGCCTGTCAAAGTGAGATTGCCTTAGAAATCTTTTCCCTACAGCTGTAGCATTTTTCAATTAAAAGTGTTACTTTTTAAAGGACTCGTACATTGACTAACATAGTTTTTCAGCTTACTTCAGGTTGTTCAAGATTAGGGGAACTTATCCGTTAAGACTAAAAAAGGAATTTATAGTCAGTAAGCTAGAAGTCAACCCTGGAGCTGTCAGAAGGGTAACTTAACACTTAGGAAAGAGTCCTATAATATCTAACTTAATCCTGTGCTTACTTTATTATATAAGGATCTATGTATACTCTAAATTACCTATCAATAAATGATAACTGCTAATAGAACCTTATCAATCAATTAATTCCTTCATGCAAATGTCAGCAGGTGGTATGATCTTTTAGCTTCCATTGACACTGTCTGGAAATTCTAGGTAGAGACTGGGGCAATGTTTTTCTTAGCATGGTAGTAATAGAGCCAGAAATTCTCTTGTTACATTAGGTACAATTAGGTAGAGTCAGAACTAGTTTAATGTTTGGACACAAAGTTGTCCAACTTTGGAAGGAGTTTCCAATAGAATACCCCAGGGATATGTGTTTGGCCTTGGGCTATTTAACATTTTTATTAATGACTGGAGTAAAAGCATTATCGGCATGCTTCTCAGGCTTGCAGGTGACACATAGTTGGGAGGGATGGCTAACAAGGTAGATGTCAAAATTGAGATTCAAAAAGGTTTTGTCAGGCTAGAACATTGGACCACACTTCATCAGATTAAATTTATGATACATTTTTTATCATAATTCTTTTTTTCAATCAGCAAAAATCTGGCTTTTTACCCTTCTCCAACCCTTCCCCCCAGTTGAGGACAAAAGAAAACAAAACCCTTTACAGACATGTATAATCAAAACCACATTTCCACATATCCAAAAACAAATGTGTTTCATTCTCACTCTTGAGTCCTTCACCTCTGTATCGGGAGAGGAGAAGCATGTTTCATTATAGTCCTCTAAAATTGTGTTTGGTCATGACATTGATAATTGTTCCAATTTTTTCAAAGTTTATTTTGACCATTTTGTTGTCATTCTGTAAATTATTCTTTTGATTCTGTTCTCTTCACTCCCTTTCAGTTCATACAAGTCATCCTAGATTTTTCTGAAACCTTCATCATCTCTTACAGCACAAATTCCATCACATTTATATACCATAACTTGTTCATGCATACCCCAATTGATAGTTGTCATATCAGATTCTTATTCTTTGCCACAACAGAAAAGCTATAAATATTTTTTACTTATTTAAAAAATTGTATTTTTAATTTATAGAATAAAACAGAGCTATAAATATTTTTGTACATTCTTAGAGTTTGTTTTTATTAGGACTGTATCCTCCCTTAATCTACCCTCTTTCCAATTCCCCTACTTCCTCTCTAATTCTGTCTCCCCGTTATTCCCTTTTCCTTCTATTTCCCTTTTCAGGGAAATGTATTATTCCTTCCTTTAAGTAGGTCACATGAGAGGGAGGTTGAAGTGTCAGGTGCTCCCCCAGACCTCCCTTGTTTGTATAGATGTTTTCTTGTGCACCCTGATTATGTGAGATAATTTTCCCTAATCTTCCTTTCCTTCACCCCCAATGTATTCCTCTTTCACTCTTTTTTCATTCTTAAGATCGTCAAGATATAATAGAACCACTTACAGACCTTTCTAATTAGAAGACGACTTCTGTGACCTTAGAAGATGTTAGAGGTCAGAGTGGACACATGTATCATCTCCCCATTTTTGAATTAAGTAGTTTATCCTTGTTTAGTTCCTTATCATTATTCATTTATCTTTACCTTTTTATGTTTCTTAAGTTTTGTCTTTCAACTTAAAGAGTTTCTGTGCAGCTCAGGTCTTTGCTTCAAGAATGCTTGAAAGTCCTCTATTTCTTTAAAGATCCATTTTTTCCCCTTGTAGCATTATACCCAGTTTCACTGGGTAAGTTATTCTTAAGGATATGGGTAAGCCCATATCCTTTGCCTTCTGGAATTCTGTATTTCTAGTGGTGGATGCTAAATTGTATATGATCCTGACTGTGGCTCTTTGGTATTTGAATTCTTTCTTTCTGGCTTGCTTGTATTTTTTTTCTTTGACCTGGAAGCTCAGGATTTGGGCTATGGTGTTCCTAGGAGTTTTCATTTTGAGCTTTCAGAAGGTGACGGTGACTGGTAGATTCTTTCTGTTTTCACTTTGCTAT